TAAAGGATAAGATATAGAGTCTTGGGTTTTTTCCTAAAAAATTTATGCTTGCATGTTGTCACGAGGATGACGTATGGATCATTTTAGACCACGAAGCTGGGATCAAAGAAAAAATTAACCCTTTGTGTATAATGTGAAAACCCCTACATGTCCAACATCATTATTGTATCCGACATATTTCTACAAACTACCATGGCAAATTTAAGAATAATGATGAACGCCAAGTACTTATACGCATCGGTATGTTACCTTTTTTCAATTTTATGTTTTATTTTATTTATTTCTAGTTCACACTAACTAGTACATATGTATTAGGTTACAAACTCTTACCTCAAAGGTTTGAGTTTATGCTTCAAGAGTTACAAGGAACAAATGAGTAATGATACAATTACATCAGATCCATTAACAAAAAATGTAGACAAATGCATATGATGATGGATATTGATATGATCATATGGAAACCAACTTGACTGAGGCTATCAATTCAACCTTAAAGGGCGCACACCATTTACATGTAATTATTTTGATTAAAACGACGTATTTTCGTTTGGGTAAGCTTTTTGCGAAGCTCGAGAGACAAGCTCTTACTTGGATGCAAAATGACCATCTTTACCACCCAAGATTAGTAGTAGATCTATAGAAAAAAGTTGTAGCATCAAATGAAATGTTGGTAACAAATTTTTCTCACAGACATTAATTATTTCGTGTGACAAAAATGCCATGACCTCTTTAAGGGATTTAATCTAACTATTTTGAGAGTCAACCTACAACAAATGTGGTGAGATTGTGGTTTTTTCAAGATCTAAAGCATCCATGCTCCCATGTTATAACAACTTTCTCACATTCTCATTTTAACTATAAAAGCTATATTGATCCCGTATACCAACTTTCATAAGTATTCAAGGAATATGAATTTGAGTTGCCCCCATAGGTAATGAAAAATACTCAAATAAGATTCAAACTCAGCTTATAATTATACCAGATTTGTTGTTATTTAGGGAGTCGGGTATTCCAAAATTCACTCTAATTCATTGTGATATGGATATTCGAGAGACTTCAAAAGAACCTAAAATATGTGGGCATTGCAGTAACCTAAGCCACAATAGGAAAAAATATCCATCTATTTTATTATCACTTAATTGTTGACCATTACTTATATAATTATATTTTCTAAAATTTTAATTTATGTGATTTTATTTTCTTCTACTTTATTTTCTTCTATTTTATGTATTTTTATTTTTTATTTTATAATATAAATATTATTAATGATTATATATATATATATATATATATATATATATATATATATATATTCATTCATTCGATTTTATATTCTAATATTTTCATTTTAATGTTGAAAGATTACATTTTAGGAAGAAAAATTTTATGATTAATGATTTACAATTTACAAGTTTTAACGTCTATGATTAAGGGTTTACATTTTAGGGTTTATTTTTTGTGATTATTATTTTTAATTTCAACATAACCCTAAACTATTATAACAAATTAATAAACCCTAAACCATTTTAAGCTAAAAACCTAAACCACTAAAAAAACCTAAAACCACTCAACCAACCTAAATCGCTCAACCAACCTAACCCTAAATTAACTTGAAAGGAGTGTCCCCTGCAACTCTCCTTCAAAGGCACGTCCCCTGCAACACATCTTCTGTATTGCCTACCACATCAAGGTAAAGCGCCCCTGAAGCGCGCCTTTGTTACACATCTGGAAAACGCATTTCACACAATGCGTCTCTCCCTTATTTTGTAGAAAGGGTGTTAGTTTGGTATATATTCAAAAAAGGATGTTAATTCGACATCTTTTATTTTTTTTATTGATTTTTGGGTAAAATTATCTAATACTAAACTCTATATTTATTAACGATACATTTAATTCACTACTTATGATTTGAGTAAAGAACTGTTGCAGTTGAAAAGATGATTGTTGGTCACAAGAGCAAAATCACAATTTTAATTCATAGAAAATAAAATAATAAAGTAGAATTAATCATACAAAACCAGGGATGGCGTAAGGGCAAGGGAGGGGGAGATTTTAATGGTGATTTCTAATATTTTTATTTTGGCTTAATACCAAAATAAGTGTCCAAACTATACCTTTTTTTCCAAATAGGTGCATGAACTAATTTTCGTCCCATCCAGGTGTCTAACGTTGTAACTGTTACCCGTTTAGGTGCTCGGGGCGACAACGATATTAAGTTCTGCTGTTAAGTGACATGTGTCATAATATGGTATTTTGAAATTTATTTTTAAATAAAATATTAAAAATATTATTATATTTATAAAAAAATTAACTTATCTTATATTATAAAACAGTCCCAAAATTCCAAATCCTAACTTTAATTCACCGTCGTCTCCCTTTTCGACCACGACCACTGCCATCGACGTAGCCCATGCCATCCTCCTACTCATACACCATCGTATTTTCCATCGATTGACCATCAGAATCGTGTGGAATCGCAATTTTAATCCTAGGGTTTGAGGGGTTTAAAACATTGATTCGTCATCGATAAGACATCGATCGATCATGATTTCAAAGGGGTTTTGGTTGTCGGGGGAGCTTCGTCAACGGCAAAAGGCGAAGGCTAGAGTAGGTTTAGGGGGTTGAAATTAAGGTTTTCAAAGTTTTGGGTTTATTTTAAAGAGAAAATAACCTCAGTGACCAAAAATGCCTTATAATATATGATTTTAACCAACTTTTTTTGGATTTGCCAAAATGACCAACTAAATCGCAATGCGATCGATAATTCGCAACGCGATCTCCGGTATCGCAAATCAGTTTCCAGATTCGCAACGCGAACATCGATTATCGCAATGCGATTTTCCAAATTCGTTGCGATAGTCCGAGTTCGCGTTGCGTTGCGATTTATTCCAAATTCGTTGCGATAGTCCAAGTTTGCGTTGCGATAGTCCAAGTTCGTTGCGATAGTCGAAGTTCGCGTTGCGAGTTATTCCAAATTCATTGCGATAGTCCAAGTTCGCGTTGCGATAGTCAAAGTTTGCATTGCGATTTATTCCAAGTTCGTTGCGATAGTCGAAGTTCGCGTTGTGGTTTATTCCAAGTTCGTTGCGATAGTCGAAGTTCGCGTTGCGATTTATTCCAAGTTCGTTGCGATAGTCGAAGTTCGCGTTGCAATTTATTCCAAGTTCGTTGCGATAGTCGAAGTTCGTGTTGCGATTTATTCCAAATTCATTACGATAGTCGAAGTTCGCGTTGCGATTTATTCCAAGTTTGTTGCGATATTCGAAGTTCGTGTTGCGATTTATTCCAAGTTCGTTGCGATAGTCAAAGTTCGCGTTGCGATTTATTCCAAATTCGTTGCGATAGTCCAAAATCGCAACGACTGGTGGTATTGTATTTGTTTCTTAAGAATTTTCTCTAAAAATATAGTATTCGCGCGGACGTGTCGAAGACACATATTACCACGACCCCGACCCGAGACGAGACGAGACGAACGGCGGTGGCGCGCGAGAGTCCCCCTTGTTCTCTATCACTCAACAAGGAAGTGGGAAAGCCAAGCCTTAAATACCATTCCCAATAGTGTTTCCAATACTATGTGGGATTGAGCATTATCAACACTTGTTCTCAATACTATGTGGGATTGAGCCTTAAATAGTGATATTATTTGTGAATTATAGTTAATGACTTTAGTATTTGTATGAAAAGTATTTGTGGTTCGTTTAGTTTTCATGCAATTCTAATTTATTTTCAATTGATTGTAATTGCACGATAACAATTTTTTTTATTCTCGCGAGTGATGTAATTATTTTTGAATGTTTTGCTTAAAATTGCAATAATCACGATTGATTGTAGATTGACTTTTAATTATGACATATTTAATCGTATAATACTAATGCAATTGGTTGCTGATTCAGTTGTTTTAAGGTGCATGATTGTTAATTGTTTCCTGAATAATCACATAGTATTGGAAACAAGTGTTGGTAATGTTCAATCCCACATAGTATTGGAAACACTATTGGGAATGGTATTTAAGGCTTGGCTTTCCCACTTCCTTGTTGAGTGATAGAGAACAAGGGGGACTCTCGCGCGCCGCCGCCGCCGTCCCGTCTCGTCTCGTGGTCGTGGTCGTGGTAATACGTGTCTTCGACACGTCCGCGCGAATACTATCTTTTTAGAGAAAATTCTTAAGAAACAAATGCAATACCACCAGTCGTTGCGATTTTGGACTATCGCAACGAATTTGGAATAAATCGCAACGCGAACTTGGACTATCGCAACGAATTTGGAATAAATCGCAACGCGAACTTGGACTATCGCAACGAATTTGTAATAAATCGCAACGCGAAACTTCGACTATCGCAACGAATTTGGAAAATCGCAACGCGAACTTCGACTATCGCAACGCGAACTTGGACTATCGCAATGCGAATATGTAAATCGCAATGCGATAGTTGAAGTTCGCGTTGTAATAGTCGAAGTTCGCGTTGCGAATCTGGAAACTGATTTGCGATACCGGAGATCACATTGCGAATTATCGATCGCATTGCGATTTAGTTGGTCATTTTGGCAAATCCAAAAAAGTTGGTTAAAATCGTATATTATAAGGCATTTTTGGTCACTGAGGTTATTTTCTCTATTTTAAAATGTGTTTTCTGTTTTTAAATATATATATATATATATATATAATTTTTATTTTTTATTTTAAATAAACATTTTAAAATTATCAGGTTGTAACATGTTTCATTTAACCGAAAAATTAATATCGTTACCGATCAAGATACCTAGATGAGACGAAAATTAATTTAAACACTAATTTTAAAAAATAATTATAATTTAGACACTTATTTTAATATTAAATCTTTTATTTTTTATTCTCAAACACCAAATGTTTTGAATTTATTATAGCATGGCATATAACGATGACCCCAAAAGCTGACAGTAAAGTGTGTAAACAATGGTGAACTCTTAAATTATTGGGGGCCAAAACAAAGGCACGAACCATTTCTTTCACTCTCCTTGTACTGCTCCCTTCCCAAAAGAAAACAAAGCTTAACCCCTCCATCTCTGATCCCTCTCCTTCTCTTCCTCTCCATCGATTGCAGACCGGGGAAGAAGAAAGTCCAAAACCCATCATCAAGATATTGACTAATCTTTTCCATCTACCCCGTGTAAAAACACTGCTCTCTTCCTTGCCATCTTTTACTACTTTCTTCTGGGTAAGCTTCCAAGTATCTTCTCTCCCCCCCCTTCTCTCTTGGTTTACCCTACTAGATTTTTCTTTTCCCATTGAAGAAGAGAGATCAAAGATGCCAAGGCCAGGCCCTAGACCTTACGAGTGTGTAAGAAGAACTTGGCATAGCGAGAGACACCAACCCATGAGAGGTTCCATCATTCAACAGATTTTTAGGTTCTGGGTCATTAATTTCGTTACATTTTAAACATCATTATTTTGTGGTTATTTTGGGAGGGGGTTTAATTCCATGCCTACCATATGTTTGATTTTAGGCTAGCTATGGAAACTCATAGCACGGCTACTAAGAAGAAGAGGGAATGGCAAGATAAAATAATAATTGTCATCGTCAAAGCTGAGGAGATTTTGTATTCCAAAGCCAATTCTGAGGTTGTTTTCTCCTTTCAGTTTTGTGGATCTTTTTGTTCTTTATTTACGTTTCAGCTTAATTTTGCCCTTAACGCTAATTTTTAGGCTGAATACACGAACCCCGAAACCCTATGGGACCGTGTTAATGATGCCGTCAACTCGATTATCCGTCGAGATGAGAGCACTGAAACAGGAGAGCTTTTGCCACCTTGTGTTGAAGGTGCTATTGATTTTTTAATTTTATTTTAGATTTTACATGTTCTACTCTGGGATATTTTTGGATTTGAGTTTATTGTTATTTATCGGTTTGTCTCGTTTTGATCATACATTTAGCTGCAACTTTATGAACTTTTCGATTTGAAACCAATTTCAAGAACAATTTGGACTGAAAGATTATGGTACATATGTTGTTTTAGCTGCCCTTAATCTGGGGTGCTATCCGGTGAGAGCTTCAAGGAGCCAACGACACTGTAATCCTAGGTCTTATCTTACTCCAAGAGCACCCGAACCTGTCTCTGCAGTGCCTAGGATTTTGGATAAAGGCAGTGAGGAATGTTGTCCTCAGATATCGCCGGTTCAGCCAGGCAGTCAATTTGCTAGAATAGCAACCAAAGTGAATTCCAATGTTTCAGTCTCGCAAACTAACATTCATGGTTATCCATTTCTGTCTGAAAATGGTCCATCTGGCCGTGACCAACTGATGAGGAAAGAAACCAACACCCCACCGAACTTGGGTCAAGCTTACCCCCTGTACTATGGAGTTCACTGTCAAAATGTAGAGCTCCAGACAGGTTCCCCTGTTCAGGAAAAGATAGTGTCTGATATGATAATTGTTGGGAGACCTATTGGTACATCTGTTTTAGAGCCAGCTGAAAGGGGTTCCTTGCAGAATTTTTCTTCTTCTGATGTCGATGTTGGTGGTCAGAGAATTGGACAGCAAGATATCGAGCGCACCCACAATAAGTCATTTGCAAAAGAATGTGATTTGTCCTTGCGGCTGGGTCTATTTTCTGACCCTTGTATGCAAGTAGGAAAGAATTCAATTTGTGAAGCTAAAGATGTCGGTCCAAGCTGCAGTCAAGGTGGGAGCAAACTTAATGATTCTTTTCAACAAACGAGTAAAGAGTTCCGTTTTTTCCCAGAGAGGACTGTTAATGACCATTTTGTTTCATCTTCAAGAAAGTGCTTCATGGAAAATGAAGATAACAATTTTGGGGTAGCAGTGAGAAAACGCAAGGCAACATTTGGAGGCAACTCAGAAGATGAACAATTTTGCAGGCTACCAGGGTCGTCGACTAAGAATAGAAGAAATTGTCCAGGTTTGTAGACAATAGTTCTAATTGTAGTTTGTCCTTCAAATTAGTTGCTTTTGAGAGCTTGTAAAATTTAATTGCTTACCATGAGATGCATTTTTGGAGTGCAGCAGAGAGTGAACTGTAAATAAATTTTTTAGCATGATTGATATCTAATAGTTGGATGATCTAATTCTCATGACACATATAATTACTCAAACATTTAAATAAATATTTTTTTATCAGCTGAGAACAATATAAGTAACATTTACTTTCTCTATGTATGTGGAACGATTTGTAGGTTTCTATATGCACAAAGATCAGGAAACAAATGAAAGTGGAAAAGAATTATAGATATTTTAGACAAATTATTAGCAATTTGAAACAATGAAATGGAGTGAAATATATACCCAAGTTCTCGTAGAAGTGTTGATCACGAATTATATATCCAACATTTCAGACTTTATGTTCCTTGTCACCTTAACGGGCACGGGTTGATTTTAGCACGTTGGTGCAAGAACGTCTTGTTGAATTGAATGCTTCTTAAGGTAGCCATGGGAGGGCACTTTTTAGTTATTGGCATTAGGTTAGGTTGAGCCCTACTTTCTAGTGCAATTCGCTGCTTGCCAAGTCTTTGCTAAGTAGCTTGTTGTTTTAGGGATTAGGATGGAGGAACCGAGTCCGAGTGTTCTACAACTGGGGATAGTTTGTGGAAAGGAAGGTGCATAGTTGGGAGCAAGGATCAGAAGCATGTCTTTGTTGTGTGATGACGAGACTCGAGTAATTAGATGCTCTTATTGTGTAACATTCAACTTAATAGGTTTTTCAGGTAGTACAGAAGGAATCTGTTGGAATTCCTAAAATTAAGGATAAATTACTTACCTTATTCCTAGGAGTTCCCTTGTAGAGTAGGATCTAAACTTAGTCTCTAATTCTTAGGGAGTTATTGATTTTTGGGGATTGCTTCCTAATTTATTCTTAGACTACTCTATAAAGGCTATAAACTATTTAGTAAAAAATAACAACCTTCTTTCTAAGTTTGTTTATGGCATCAGAGATATAGGAGCCATTCGATCCTGCTCCTTTTGTCTTTATCTTCTTGACCCTCTCGTTAATCTTTCTTGCCTCTCCGATTGAATCCATTTTCTATGGGCGACAATGAAACTCTATCCGAAATTGAGACCTCACAAATGACTTAGACTTTTAACCAGGGAATCTCTCAAGGTGACCTTAATTCCTCCCTCATAATCACCAATCATCGTCTAGATGGAAAAAATTTCCTGTAGTGGTCCCAATCGGTCATTATGGTAATTTGTGGCCATGGAAAATTAGGTTACATCAATGGAGAAATTTCTTAACCATCCTCAACAAATTCGACTTTCGCTACTTGGGAGCTTAACAACTCGATTGTAATGGCTTGACTAATTAACTCAATGGAAGGCCATATAAGTCACACTTATCTCTTCTTCAAAACTGTGAAAGACATGTGGTATGCAATCAAAGAAAACTACTCGGATTTGGGAAACACGTCCCAAGTATTCGAGATCAAGCTGAAGTTGAAGGATATTCGACAAGGAGCACTCGAAGTAACTTAATACTACAATAATCTGAAAATTTTATAGCAGGAGCTGGATATGTACTACGAGGCAGACTGGAGCGAAAGCGTGGAACACACCAAGATTATGACTCATCTCAACAAAGAACGCCTTTATGAGTTCCTAGCAGGACTGGATCGTGAGTTAGATGAGGTCTGTGGACGAATTCTGGGTAGAATCATTCTACCAACAATCGGGGAAGCATTTGCAGAAGTTAGAAGAGAAGAAAAATGATGATTGGTCATGATGGAAGTCCCAAAAGAACCTAAAATTGTGACAACAATTGGTTACTGTCCTCCTGAAAATTTTACCCTTATCATTAAAGGTCATCAACCACAAAAATTTTGTGCTGGAAATGATTCTGGATCAAACAAACCATGGTGCAACCACTGCAATTGCGTTGGTTAAACAAGGGAAAGGTTCTTCAAACTCCATGGCTATCCTATAAAAAATCAGAAGGAGAATAAAACTGCAATGTTGTCCACTAATACCTCCACTGCTGCAGATGATGCTCTTGACGTTCACCTAACCGAAACCAACTTGAGACACTCCATAAGTTGCTTGGTACTTCTATGGCTAGTGGTTCTCTAGCCACCCAATATATTACCCTCAACATTGTCTTTGAACCTAATAAATCCTCCTGGATACTCAATTCGGGTGCTTCCTATCACATGATTGTTTCACTTATTCACCTTATCATGACCAATCCTAAATCGACATGGTTGGTGGATCCTACTCACTGGTGGCTGGAATTGGAAAAGTAAAATTAGCAGAAAATTTATCCCTTGATAAAGTCCTATATGTCCCAAAATTATCCTATAATTTACTTTCAGTCAGTAAACTTACCAAGGATGAAAATGTTCTTGATGAATTTTCTGCAATTGGTTGTGTGGTACAGAAACAGAAATCGGGGAGGATGATTGGCACTGCTAAAGTTGATGATGGACTATATGTTTGGAATAAAGACAGTACACAAGAAGTATTGACTTTATCTACTTCAAAAGATGACACAATTATGTTATGGCACCATAGACTAGGACATCCAAACTTCTTGTATTTGGAGAAACATCTTATATTGTTATTTCACAATAAAAGTGAGCTCCTTGAAATGTGAAATTTGCTAATTATTCAAACACTCTCGTGTATCATACCCATTAAAGCCTTATGTTCAGTCTCAACCTTTCTCGTTAATACACAGTGATCTATGGGGAGCCAGATGTATAAAGAATGTTACGAGAGCTAGATGGTTTATAACTTTCATTGATGACCACACTAGGGTTTGTTGGGTATACATCCTCAAAGAAAAATCCGTAACACCCAAAATCTTTCAAAACTTGCACTTAATGGTTCGAACCCAATTTAATTCTATCATACATACTCTCCGAACTGACAATGGAAAAGAATATTTCAATTCTATCCTAAGCCCTTTCCTTTTTGACCAAGGCATCATACATTAAAGTTCTTACCCCCAACACACCTCAACGAAACGGGACATCTGAAAGAAAAAATCGACATCTCTTTGTTGTGGTTCAAGCCATAATGTTCACCATGGGTGTGTAAGTAGTGTTTAAGTTAAACTTTGAATCCTAACTTATATATAAAATGATCTCCTAATTTATAGAAAAGATGACTCCTATCTTTTCTAGGTATCTAATTCATATATATATAAATCTCATGTATCATCTTGTGTAAAATATAATTGTTCTTTGAATAAAAATAATTTCAGAATTAAAAAAATCATGTTTAACAGAACCAGAAAAATCTGTTTACCAAAATCGAAAAACTATATTTCTATATGGTATCAGAGCCGGCTTCGATCTCAACCTTACTGCTGTCGTCGTTCGTCATCCTTCCGATCAGTAGTGTGCCTTCTGTGCACTGTTGTTCTTCTAGTTGTGAAATTCTGTCAACACACCACCCGTCACAGCGACGTTTTTCTCTCATCGTCGTACCCTTTGCAACACAGCCCCTTTACAGTGTCGTCTTCCTTGTTGCGCAACCACAACAGTGTCACTTCTATCGCAGCGTTGCTCTCCTTTTCGTACTGTTCTTGTCACGCTTCCGGTCTAACTATGCCCTTATCACACCGGAAACCCTTCACATTTCGTTGTTTGGTACATGTTACGCCGTTGTTGGTAACTGTCCGTCCAACACTATCTCCTCACCGCACAACCCATTCGACACTCATCCTAGCGCTGATCTCCTCAAATCTCCGATTGTACATTATATTAGTGTTCCTTGCTAGTTCATGACATATCCCAAGCTCTCAATTCCTCGACAATCATGGCATATCCTTATTCGTCCTACATTCCATCTAAGGATGAAACTTCCATTGTTCAGCCGTCTCCTTCCGACTCGGTTTCCTCATCCATTACTTGTCATCGTCTAAATGGGTGTGTCTCTTGGATTATTGATTCCGGAGAAACTGATCATATAACGGGATACTTCAGTTTATTTTTCACCTTTCACAAAAATGGTATTTGATGCAGTGTTCGTACTACTGATGGTTCTCTATCACTGGTTAAGGGAAATGGCTCAGTTCGCATTAATAGCCACATTACTCTATCTAATGTTCTATTTGTTCCAAGTTTGACTTGCAATATTCTTTCGATTAGCAAATTATCTACCGATTTGGGTTGTATTTCTCATTTTACTCGTGATTATTGTGAATTTCAGGATTTGACCTCATGGATGGTGATTGACATTACTAGGCGTCGTGGTGGACTCTATATCCTTAACACTCCTCCTTATACTCTCGTTCCCTACCACTCACCTGCACCATTTATATCTTCTTTTGTTTCAGTTTCTCCCACAGATGCGGCTGCCGACATTGTGTTATGGCATTTTAAGTTAGGTCACCCAAGTTTTTCTTATCTTGCAAAATTATTTCCATAATTATTTATTAAAAAAAATCCCATATTTTTCTTGTGACATTTGCTCTGTTGCAAAACACATTCGGAGTTCTTATCCTCATTCTCCCTCTTGCTTGCCTAACCATTTTTCCTTAATTCATAGTGACATTTGAGGACCTTCACGGGTTACGGGTTTACATGGAATTCGTTGGTTTATTACTTTTATTGATGACCACTCTCGTACCACTTGGACCTTTGTTATGAATGAAAAATCTGAGTCTTCTACCATCTTCAAACGATTTCACAAAATGGTTGAAACACAATTCCAAAGTTCTATTGGCATCCTTAAATCTAATAATGGTGGGGAATACCTCTATTAGTCGTTGGGAGCCTTCTTCTAGGAAAACGAAATAGTCCACCTCACTTCTTGTTTCGACACTCCATAATAAAATGGGGCTTCGAACGTAAAAATTGTCATCTTCTTGAGATAAACTGAGCACTTCTTTTCTTCTTCTAATGTTCCAAAATACCTTTGGGGCGATGCTCTCTTAACAGTTATTTTTCTAATCAATCATTTTCCTAGTAAGATTTTTGCCTTTAAGTGTCCACGGGATATCCTTTCCACTAAATTCCCTCACTTCAAACCTTTTATGGGAAACTAATGTATGGTTTTAAGATTTTCACGGCTCAAGTTGATCATATTCACATTCCAGAGACCATAGAGGAGGCATTTAAAAAGTCTTGAGTAGA